GTGGGGCCCAACCTCCCCTCCACCCAGCAGGAGGGGGGAGACGGATCAGGAGAGAGGAAGGACAGAGGGTCACAGACAGAGGGAGAAGATGAAAGTTAGTATCCTCTCACTTTATGTTCTGCAGTTTGCTGCAGGCCAGCAACATGAGGACGCTTCATACAAGAGCGGGGTTCAAAAAAAAAGGATAACGTGAAATAATGGCACCATCTGAATAAACAATCTACTTGTTTGTAGAAGAGGAACAGATAACAAAGCACTGAAGAGAGAGCGTTAAGGTGAGTTTAACATTCACTATCCATACTGTCAATGTGTTTGCATCTGTTCAATACTGTATGCCATGTACATTTCAATGTTTCAAGCATTCTTAATGAGATCAGCAACCTTGACTTTAATTGAAATAACTTGAATCAATACCAGCCTACACTGATGTTCATATTTCTTTCATTTGTTGATCTTATTAACGGATACATAAAGAGATAATGAGGACTTTAGTTTGTTTGAACACATCATGTTTTCTTAATATTTATTTTCTTTTGTTGAAGGCTTAAAAACTGATAAAAGATTATGATCAGGAGACTATGATTATTATAATTAAATGTGGTTTACATGTTTTGCTGTTGTCATTTGAACATTGAATCTGACTTCCCTTTACCCTCCAGGCCATGGGAGACCCCCTGTCCGACTGCAGCCCCCTCATCAGTGCAGCAGCCTCCTGTAAGCTGCGTCTGGTCCGCCTGCTGGTGGAGGGGGGGGCTCAGGTCAACAGGCAAAACCCCAAAGGAGAGACCCCGCTCCTGGCTGCCTGTAAGGCCCTGAGAGGGGAGCCTGGTGGGCCTGAGACGGTGAAACTCCTCTCCTACCTGCTGCAGAACAAGGTCAGTCAACTTTCAACTTAGAATACTGCGTAAATGCAATCTATGGAATTCAAGTTTTCACACTTGCTCTACAGTTAATTGATTTAGATATATTTCTGATGCATAATAAATGTGTCCCAGCAGTAGGGAGAGGAGGTACTTATGCATTGTAAACAGCTTTCTGATTATCCCAGTTCTGCTTCTGTCCTCGATCCACCTCTTCAAAACATTTCAGAAATGTCTTCTGCTGGAGAACACAACACATCTGAGGGAAGATGCTTATTGAATAGGTTCACATGGAGGATTGTGCATTAGACTGTCTAATACAAAGTTCTCACTAATCAATGACAAATCAGATTTCATTAAAAAAAAGTGAGCTGAACGTGTATTCATAAGCAAATGATATACAACATTGACACTTAATTTCCTAGCAAACAAAATTGAAAGACACCAAATTCACACTGGGTTAATGGTCATGACTTATTGATTGTTGACTGATACCAACTGTAATCCTTTGAGCCAATCAGGCAGAGCCGAACGCCCAGGACCGGGCCGGACGCACCGCTCTGATGTACGCCTGCATGGAGCGGGCAGGAGCTCAGGTGGCCTCCACCCTGCTGGCTGCAGGAGCCGACCCCAGCATGGAGGATCACTCCGGGGCCTCAGCACTGGTGTATGCCGTCAACGCACAGCACCAACCCACACTGAAGGTCAGAACAGCTGGGGGACATAGGAAAGATTGATTTGTTTATGTTGGAGAAGGATGTGTTTATTGAAACAGAGAGGCAGAGAAACTCAGCATTTACATACTTACAAATACCACAATGTAAAGACACCACTATAGGTAAAGGTCCTGCATTAAAGAAATGTACCATATTATTTTTTAACTATGTAAGGATATACATAATGTATCTAATAAGGTTTGTTGTTATTTATGTAGTAATTTCTTGGGAGCGTTTTTAATGGTGTTGCCTGTCATAAGGGTGCTGATTTTTTAGGTACAAACAATGCATAATACGTTATAATTTGTTTATGTAATCTTAACTTGAAAAGGAACGAGTAAACATACTAGATGTCTCAATAATCATACTCTCTACAGATTTGACTCTTTTCAGATAATTAAATCCGTTCAAATCTGAGCCTTGATACTGATATTACCAAGTATTACGAATACAATAAAGCTTTAGTAAGCAGCACTATCAAATCTGTGTATTGCAGGTTTTGATGGATGCCTGCCGGGCGAGGGGTCGTGACATCATCATCATCACCACACAGGTGAATGTGAATGGAGGCCCGGTGACCAGGCGTTTCCTGAACGTTACACCGTCTCCTGACTCCTCGCCGGTGTCCTGCATGTCCCCGTCTGACATCATCCTCAAGACGGGCTCCCCCAACTCACCCGAGGGAGAAAACATCTTCAACTTCAGAGGAACTGGTGGTGAGTAATGCGGAGTGTTTTTCAATAGAAAGTACACATTACCCACACAACTGACTGTGTACTTGGTATATAGAGAAAAGCAGACATTTCATTAGAAAATCTTAGACCAAAACATGCAAAACCCCACAAAAAAGTGCTGATAATCTATATTTACATGAACAACTCCACCTGAGGATAAATAGCCCTGTGTAATCCTCATTCAGCAAACGACCTGGATCCTAACATTGGATCAGTGTTATATTGTGGATGTTTTCTGGGTTCTCCACCTTGATATGGAGATCAGTAGCACCAACAGTATGTAGATCTGTGTCTCTGGTAGCTGTGCAGCGTTTAACAAAGACAAGTCTAGACAGATGAGAGCAAATTCTGGTGGTTGCAATCATTAGCTGAGTGCTCATTCCTGAGGACAGCAGATGAAATGTGTTGTCAGGGTGAGGTGAAGGTAATTCTGGTGGTGCATTTTAATGAAAGAAGCCACATTTCTTCGGCTACAGAGGAACTGATACTTCATTAATCCCGTAGAAACTAACAAGGGTCTCTTTGAATACAGTTAGAATAGAATGTGGAAGTAAAAGCTGTGTTATTTTTTAATAATGCATATTGTATGCAGTATATACTTTATATTAATCTTCATTGGTATAAAATGCCACTGGCGATTAAACACACACAGCTCCTCCATTTCCCTCTGGCATTGCATTTTGGGAGAACAGTGTACATCAGCAATGCCACAAAGTATAATAGGCCTTTTTGTAATAATACAAACTGGTGTAAGATTGTTTGTTTTGGCAGTTTTCTAGCGTGAACACACAGCAGAAACCTACATAGAATTAGTATGAAGCCACAGACTAAGAAACACGTGTTTTGAGTGCACCTTGGGCAAAAATAAATACTATCTTTGTACTATACCAGCATCATTCTTGCTGCTCTGAATATGTATCCTCATGGTTGATTCCACTTAGTGTAAATCGATTCGGATTAAAATGTCGATATGTCATCAAATGAAGTATGTTTGCTTTGTATATTCCAAAATAACCCATTTGCTTAAAAGGGCTTTGCCATCTGTACAGCATACAACACCCTCTATCCTTTGACCTTTGTTTAGGATAAGGAAAAATCCATTAAGGTGAGGGAGAGGATATGCAAAATGCAAAAGGAGACACAGTTAATCTCAAGTACTTCCACATGTTTGCTTCTCACTCATTCTGTCTTATTCCCCTATCAGGCACAAGAGGAAGCAGCAGCAGCAGCAGCAGCAGTGGCAGTGGCAGACCTCCCTCCTGTGAGCTGGGCCAGAGCAGCAACCCCCCGCCCAGACAGAGGATGTTATCTGAACCGTGGCTGGCCATCCACAACCTGGCCTGCCTGAACCGGGCCTACGAGGAGGGCCTGATGGAGAGGAGCCTGCGGGGGGAGGGGGGCAGAGAGGATTCAAGATGGGAGACTGTAGAGAGGGGAGGAGAGGAGCCACACTTTCATCAGTCCAGGGGGGAAGAGAGGAAGGAGGGTTTGCTTCAAAGGAGGGATTACAGATGTGGAGGAGAGAATTACAACAGTGAGGTTTTTCTTCCGAGGCTGTCTCAGTCGGCCCTCTCCCTAACGGAGGTGAGCTCATCTCAGGCAACATTAAGCCGACTCTTCCCTAAGAGGTGTCTGATGCCCGGAGGTTCAACTTCTGACAACACCACCTTAAAAAGCGGTGTTGATAAGCTTCCTGCCTGTTTGCCTCCCCACTGCCAGCTCCGCAGGAACACCCTCCCCTCCGTCATGGTGGTTCCTCCTCCACTTCAACTCCCACCCTTAGTCCACCAATCAGACTCCCATCTACAGGTTCCCATTCCCCAAAGCAGGAGCATGGTGTTTCTGCCTCACCCACCCAGCTCCTCTTCACCCAGAGCTCCTGTAAGACTCCCCCGTCTCCTGCCCTCCTCCTCCTGCTCCTCCCTGGCTGCCCCTCCTGCCTCCTCCTCCCTGGCTGCTCCTCGTGCCTCCTGCTGCAGCAAGAGGTTGCTGCGTCGCCACTCAGTACAGCTGGACCAGATGAGGAGAAACAATTTAGGCCTTCATCCCTCCATTATGTTGTTCTCTGACAGGAAACATCATTAAAGTTCAAATAGAAATCTGAAAATGTGGTAAAGTTTACACTCTTTAAAAGAAAAGCCTCTAAAATGGTAACAGAAGGGCAAAAATAAAGCACTTAAAATAAAGTGAGGTAATTGCCATGGTTGTGCCTCTGTGTGTCTGCGTCAGTATTATGGTTTAGATTGAATTCTGAAATGTATCAATTTATTTTATTAGTCATTTATTTGTTTTAAAGAGGCTATAATTGTTCATTTATGTGATTTTTTTCACAAAAATGTAAAGATGAACTTCTGTTTCCCGGTTCAAATATCTGAGTATATTGCTTTATCATCTTTGAATGAAAACCTTTAAATTCTTCTAACACAACATAAATAAAACAGCAATTATTTAAAAAATATTATTAAATAAGGTTGTTTAAACCCATGGCTGTCAAACACATATTTGAATCCAATGGTTGCCCAACTGTTTGAAATGTGACCAGTTCTAAAAAGCAAATATTTTAGAAAACGTGTAGAAATGTAAACATTTTGGTAGCAAATGTGCTTTCACTTGATTACGAGAAAAAGTCAAAAATACTACATTTTTTAAAGGCAAATCCCAACCAATAGGTCCAGTGAAAGAAGGTCATGTTCATGGCAAAAGGAGTGAAGTCATTTTATTTGTTTTTAATATGTATCTACAACAAGGGGGACACAGGCAAAAACGACTGACAACTTGATGAAAATTAAAACAAAACCCCAAAAGAATTACATTTATTTTCAATGCATTTTCCCACCTTTTTTCCAATAAGCAACATTTTTTTGTCTAAAGAAACTTTACAATATAAAGAAACGTACGAAGAAGGAACCTCTCATTTTACTACACGAGACATTTAGGATCTGAAACTACCCTAACATGAGATACAAAGCAACTCCCCGGGGACAGACTGCCTTATATTCAATACTGCTTTGTCATTAAGAGGAAATAAATGAGGAACTGAACAGAAAAATCTTTACTCCCCTCCAAATCCTCTCTTAACCCTCCCTACCCCTGAATGTTACAGTATTATACATCAGCACAATAGAAATACAGAAATGATCAACGTTGTGACGGTTTTACTTACAGGACAGAAAGATAGAGAGAAGTTCAACTGCATTTTATACAACAGTATTTCAAAGTACAGGGGACGAAACGCCTGCTCCCGCACTTTCTCTACCTCTTCTCAGCAATAAGAACAAATCTGTCTGTTATTTTTTTTTTCTCTTTACTTTCCCAAAACATTTCTCCCGCCCCATTTTAAATAGATTAAAAAAAAATCCTTCATAGTAAAGTCTGTACTCTGGTACCTGGTGTGTCGGGCTGAGAGCCAGCGTCCTGTGTGGCTTATTTTAATTGTGGGTAGTTAAATGTCTGAGGCATTCATTTTATTATGAAAAACTGGCCTGTTTTGGCTCTATTCTTGCAAATTCTGTCAAACAGTGAAAAATACGACTGTTTTGCCAACTGTACAGCAGAGGAGGGAGGCTCCTGCTCAAGAATCACGTTTAATTTAAAGATTTGTTAAGATAATGTGTGTGACTGAGTCAGCTAAAAGGCGTTCAAACACACTCACTACAAAATGGTCGTCCTCTGAGACCCCTTGACGCTACAGCTCTGATGCACAGTGAAGCGCCACGTCTGTCAGTGATGAGGTGAAATAGCATAATAGTCTATAGCAGCTCCAGTTTGTTTCTTATCGTCAAAGACACACCATATCTCTGAACAAACACACACACACAGTTGCCCCGAATCAGCACGTTTCTGATCAACTGTTGTCGTGATTTGAAAATATCAAAACATGTCAATGATATCAAAATGCATTTTACAGTATTTACAAAAAAATTAAAAGATGGAAAGTTGTACAAAAAAAAAAGATAATCAGAGAGGGGTGGTGTGTTTGCTGGCCCGTAGGAAAGGTGAGGAAGGACGGAGGTGTTTTTCTTCAAGATGACCCAAGGGAGGGAGGCCACTCGTCAGTCAGCAGAGCAACGCCTTTACGCTTCCTGCTTTGCTCCGACATTAAAAAAAACGCCCAGGATTCGATCAGCTGAGAGCCCTTTCAGAGGGAGCGCTGCACGGGTGACAACACATGTCTGCAAGCGAACTGAGAGCGTGTAAAAGCAAATATCCAAAAAGCACAGACATACATCACAGTGTGTTGGGAGCTCATCAGCAAAACAAAAAACAATCCAACTACAGTTCAGCAGAGGTGATACCGCAGCCTACGCACATGTTGGAGTGAACAGTAACCTTCAGCACCTGGGTACGGGGGTCTAATGATGGAGGGGCTGCTGACTGGATCTGCATATTTACACAGTTGCTACTAGTTCTGCAATTAACAAATAAACCAGGGATAACACTTTTAAAAAAGTAACAATGATTCATGAGACAAATGTAAAGTACATAAATAAATAGAGCTGTGCATCTCACTGCATGGAAGATAAAAATAAAAAACAAAACAGGAGCCACTTCTTCTTCTGGTTTGGATTATTGAAAAAGGAGTTTAAAATCAGATTGTTGCTAAAACTTTTTTTTAAAACGAGCCAATCAGTACCTTGATGGATAAAATCTCACCTGCAGGGGGGAGTGTGCTCACATGTTACCCGGCAAATCATTTCTAATTTGAGCGCACATGTGTCTTCAATAAAATAATGTGCACTTAGAAACAACAGAAATTAGAACCTAATCTTAAAAATGATCATATCAATATCATTAATAACAATAATACAATAATAAAAATAGCAATGATACAATACGTACACAAAAACGGGGGGAGAAAAAAAGAAAAATCACAACACCTCTGGTAAAAATGTACACACCGAGAGAACAATGGGGGCGGGCAAAGAGGTCGTTTCGGACCCTCAACTGAATCCATCGGGAGGAACAGCGACAAAATAATTGAAGATAAAAGTCCGAAGTGGTTGAGAAGCGGCTGCTAAAACGCTGCGTCCTCCTGAGAGGGGGAGACAGTCTCCTCTCCCTCTGTCTCTCTGTTTGTCCTCCTACCCTTCGCTCATTGTCTAGAACCTGACAGGAAGCCAGGGAGGCCGGGGCGGGAGTCAGAGAGGAGGCTCTTCCTGTTGCTCTGTGACTGCTTCCTGTTCAGACCGGCGGCCATCTTGCATGCTCCAGGAGGGCCAGTCTTAATTAGAGTCCCAGCATGCTCAAGGGCTGTCCCAGAAGGCTGTGTGGCCGTACAGTTCCCGAGTGAGGAGGGGGAAATGGATCCCGTATGGTTGGTCAGGAAGAGGGTGTGTGTGTGTGTGAAGAGGGGGAGGTCGTCCAATCCGAGGTGAAGTAAGGTTTGAATTGAAGAAAAAGAAGGAAAAAAAATCAGGTGCAGGGGTACAAAAATAGGAGGGGGAAAATAAAGAAAAATACAAAAAAAGGAAAATAAAATAAAATCACACACTCATCGTCATGTTGGGTGAATACTGAAAAGAGAGAGAGGGAAGGGGGAGGAGGGCACAGATGAGTGAAGGTGTCACTGACAACATGTAAACACCAGAGGGCGCTGTCACAGGAGCCCTCAGACAGGCTCCAATACACCTGACTCATGCCAGCAATACTGCAATTACATTTTCTGATTATTAATAAGGAATGTTTTTGAGGAAAAATCTAAATATATAGATTTTAATATAAAATATATTCAATATAAAGCCTTGTTTCTTCATTCTTTAAACCAGATATTTACATTAAACTACCTAAGATTGTAATGATGCTTGTATTTATTTAACATTTAAAAACTTAAATGTACTGAAAAGTGTGTAGTTAAAAAAAGCAACACTTGGTTATGAATGAAAATGCACTAATGATGGCTCCAAACAGCTCTTATTTTGAAAAACTAAATGTGTTCAGATTCCTACTGATCTTTTAAATCCAGGTATTCAGTACACCATGTGGCTCTGCAGGCCGAGGGTCATAGGCCATCTAAATCTTACACTTTACAAGACAAATTAAACGCCCTCCCCCACCCTTCATCCACAAAAAACTAAACACTTTGATCGTAAAGCTGTTTAACAACAACAAGACATTTGTGTCAATCAGCTGATCACTGATGCAGAGGGTATACAATGCAAGTGATTAGTAAGCGGCTACAATGCAAGCAGAACATGGGATATCTTTTGAAGCCCCGTTTTCTTATATTATTCAATACAATGTACATGTTGTGCAATTTAGGAACAGCATAAGCCAGTATATAGACCTGTGCTGCATTTAAAGCAATAGGTCCCACAGGTCTGCTTGGTTTCGTGTAACAGACTAAATCTGCAAAATTATGTCAAAAATGATGCTCCATCTCTTTGGGTGCCGTTTTCTTTTTGCAGTAATAAAAACATTTTTTTTCACATCACTGAGGTGCAGGAGCATGGCACGTATTCTTTTTGACTGTGGGTGCATGAGCAGAAGCATGATGTACCCTAAAGGCAGGGTACATCATGCTTCTGCTCATGTAAGTGGTCGCTCACTCTCTGGTCTTCTTATTGTACGGTCTACTCTTCCAGAAAGGGCTCTGATTGCCCTTGGTTCGGTTCTTCTTTCTCTAAAATTTGACTTGTTGGATTTGGCAAGGTTTTCAATGAGTTTGAGACAGATTGGATAAAACATTTTGGAGCAGTAAAGACCTTTGCTTCAAACTACTTTTTAATCATTTGATATCTTTAATTGCTGAAAAACCACACAGGGCCTCGGAGATAAAGTGTCAGTTATTAAGAAACACTGATCCATTTAGAATCAAACTATTACAAATAGTGACTTTATAGAACTTTATCGACAGCGGCTCTTCTTCCTCCGCAGGCCGAGGAGGTTCAACATGGACTCCAGGATACTCTGCAACTTCTACAGGTGCACCATAGAGAGTATCCTGACTGGCTGCATCACAGCCTGGTACGGCAGCTGCACTGCCCTCAAGCGTAAGGCTTTACAGAGGGTGGTGAAAAACTGCACAGAACATCACCGGGACGGAGCTGCCATCCATGGATGACCTTTACTCCCAGCGGCTCAGGAAGAAATCCCTCAGGATTACAAAAGACCCCCATCACCCCAGCCACAAACTGTTCTGTCTGCTGCCGTCTGGCAGGCGGTACCGCAGCATCAGGACTAAAACCACCAGACTCAGGGACAGTTTCATCCCACAGGCAATAAGACTGTTAAACACCTGAACTGTTGAAACAACATCCATAACATTCTGCTACTTAGAAATTATTTCTCCAATATATCATTTCATTCCAATAGCTTGCATATAGACTCTTATTTCACTATTTCACTTTTTTTAAACTATTTTTCTTTTTGTATTTACTTTTTAATATTTACTTGCACTATATTTTTCTGCTTTATTGTGTTGCACTGTTGGGGAAGCCTGTGACCTAAGATTTTCATTGACATAACTACTCTGTATCTATGTTCTTATGACAAATAAAGAACCTTGAACCTTGAACTCAGACCTAACGAGGGAACTCTCTGCTTGCATTGGTTTGTCATGAAGTCAAGGAGAACTGTTAAGGGTCGTGAGATGCCATGAGACGCCGTGAGACGCTCTACTTACACTTTCGCTTTGGAATGGGTTCAAGAAATTCCCGCCCATTTCACCGTCATCTCTCGGCGTTCCTGGAGGGTTGTTCATGCCCCCCATGTTATTAGGGGAGCTCTGGAAGAAGAGAGGACAACAACAAAAAAAGGAAATGTTGAGACAGCATCTTATAAACAGCATCGATAAAGTGTTGAGTCTAAATAAATAAAAAACGCTCAGAGAAGATTATTGAAAATCTGTTTTTCTCACCTTTGGCAACCCGTCCATATCCCCAGACCCTGAGGAGGGGAAAGAAACAGTTTGGTTGTGAAAACAATATAAAGAACTGTTTAAGTTGTATCAATGTCAATCAAAGTCCATCAATGGTGTGTAAAGCCACACCGTGTTTGAACCCACCAAGTGATCCGTTCATGTGGTGAGGCTCCATGGCTCCCATAGCTCCCATCGGCCCGTCAGGCCCCGGCCCCATAGGGAACTGGGGAGAAGATGTCAAACAAATCTTATAAACGACTGCAGTATTATCTTTCATTTTAGACCACTTTGGTTCTTTAAAACACGGGTTATTGAATGTATTCTTCTTGGTTTATTTCCAGTCGGCTCTTATAGATCTCAGTGTTGCTGAACTGTACTGATGCCCACTGAGGCTGTGTAATTGGAATCATTAGAACAACATCCATAAGAAATCAATCTACAGTTGCTGAAACTTTTGCGAAATCTGGAACATTTTATCTTTAAAGTAACATTATAGAGATTTTGGTTTACTTGGATCATGTGTGATACTCACATTGGGTCTGTTGCCTCCCGGTCCGATTGGATTCATCATTGTATAGATGTTTTCACTGGAGTTAGTTGAATCTGAGGGAAAAAAACTACTTTAGTAACATGATATAAGAGGAAATATGTGAACCACTCATCACAAATATGTTATCAAATAAATGAAAAGTAGACATGAAAACACTGATAATGATTGTTTGAGGAGAAAACGAGAGACACATCTATTTCTGACACAAGTGTTAGCGCCGGGGACATAGTTAAGTGACGCACCACCTGGGCTGGGCATGATGGGAGTTCCTGGTGGACCGCCTCCCCCTGGAGGACCCTGAGGAACAATTAGAAATAGAGGTTACAATTGAAATCATATAAAAGAAGTATCAGTACAACTAAATGCTGTAAACAGGAGAGCTGCTTTTTGACACATTCAAACTCACCACATAGTTTCCTGGAGATGAGGAGGAGTATGCTATCTGCAGGGGGAGAGGAAACAGATAATCAGATCTGAGGAGACTGAATGTGAATCCATACAGGGTGGACAGAATAGGAAGAACACTTTGAATCCAATACACCAGTACACACTTTTGTGAAGCTTATACATGTTTAGACTGCATCAAGGATTAGTTGTTTAAATTCTATAGTAAGTTTTTTGTTCCAGATGGTAAATGTCCATTTCACTTCCATTCAGAGAAATAGCCAAAAGGTTTATAATTCTTACTGATGGACACATAATGTGATATTTGTGTAGAAGCAGTACAAATGACAAAATCAACAGCACTCTGAGCACTAAAGGTAAGGTCTTTCTTTTCCTATTTTTAGGTCATGTGTAAAGGTCAAGGCTTTCTGACTCACAGAGTTAGCATTCGGTCCAGGCCACGGCCCTCTTCCTCCGGGACCCCTGAAGCAAAACAACGAAAATAGAAAGATTCAAAGGAAGACAAGTGACAAACTGCAACATGACAAGAGTGTGAAGAGTGATGAAACATAAATAACTTTTATAAAAGATCTAGCAAGACAAGAGATTACCCTGTGACTCAAAGAGACGTTTAATTCCACTAGCTATATATGTTAACTTACATGTTCATTCCTGGCATGGGGCCGCCCATGGAGTTTGGAGGTGGCCTCATACCTCCATAATTCTGTAAGAGAAAATGTTAAAACATTGTAAGAACAATTAACAATGAGTCTTTATCGAATCTCAACAATATTCCTGATTTTGGTGAAGCTGGGACTGTTTGTCTCGGGTACATGAGACTACAATTCAAGAAAAGATACACAACTATTGTGTGTATATTTTATAAGAATCTCAAAATATTGATATAAAGAAGTTGCATGCTTCAAACTTTTAGCAGCTACTAAATTAACTAGAAAGTATGTGTGTGTGTGTGTGTGTGTGTGTGTGTGTGTGTGTGTGGTCATACCTGTGGGCCCATAGCCATTCCTCGGGGAGGGTTCATCCTCATTGGTCCACCCATGTTAGGATGTCCTGCAGGAACAGACACACAGTCTCACACACTGCGACACACTACACATAAGCCACTAGGCTCGTGTAAATCCACATATGGCTCCTGTCTTTAAATCAGGAATTAAGACGTGCCGCAGACAATGCTTCATCCTAATCCCATTAGTTGTAACCCGCTGTGTTCACTTTGGGTGACGCAAGGATAACTGTGTCAAACTAAAATGCAGAATATTTCCAAAATGAGCTCTTGCACATTTTTTCATTATGAACTGAATTCCTTTGGCTCTTCTTTTTTTGGTTAATAAAAACATAAAACTGGAAGGTGAGATATAACTTATGAGGGCCAAAATCCTAATTAGGGTGACCGAGTTAAATAACACTTTTAACCCTTAGATGCATAAGTGGGTCATTTTTGACCCAGTGAGGTGGTTTTCTTGAAGTATCTTTGTAATTACATTTTGTTATCATTTCATATTCCAGCCATTCCTCAAAAGACATGTTTTGGATATCATGCCATTCAAATTTTAAATTTAAATTTTAAGAAATTGCAGTTTTTGTATTACTACCCCAAGCTTCCATAAGTGGGTCAAAAATGACCCGCATGCATTTTCTATGGAATTTCGTTTTTTTTTCAAAATGTAAAAAAAAATGTCTGAAATTATAAATAGTGAAAAATTAAATATAAAATATTTCTAGTGTAAACCAAAATGATGATTTTTCTTAACCAAAATGACAAAAATGGCATAAAAAACACATTATTCTAATACGGGTCCTTTTTGACCCACTTATGGAAGAGTGTAGGGTCCAGTCACTCGTGCATCTAAGGGTTAAAGAAATGTAATATCACATACAATAAGACTAAATACCTGCTTCACATTCAAATGGACCACATTATAAAATAGCTATTTTCTTCTAAGCTAGTTGGAATGATAGCATCTAGAAATTCAGAAACTTCTATTTTTAACTTAATATACTGATATGTATACACTTTCTTTTAAAGTAGTCGTTCTTGGTGGAAACGGGAATAAATGGATACATTTTATGGACAAAAAAAGTAGTTGTTTGGTTGAACAATTAATCAATAATGATCTATAATGTAAACAATAATAAGTCACAGTCATAGGGGAGTCAACATCTATCATAGACAACCACCTTTATACAAAATGAACATGTCTTATAATAAGAAACCCCCTAAGAGTTTTGAGAGAGGTCCCGGTCTTACCTTGCGGTCTGATCGTTTCCAAACTGTTTGGCAGGAGAGGCTGAGATCCAGGGATTCCCCCCGGAGGCTGAGGAGACACAGGACTCATTACAATACTCACTCACTACAACACAACAACACAAAAGTGGGTAAGAAATGAAAAAACAGGAGAAAAACAAAAACTACTCAAGTACCTGATTTGGCATTCGGAGTCCGGGGCGCGGTCCACCTGGATACCGTGGTGACATGAAAGGCTGAGGAGAGAAATGAAGGAAAGAGGAATAAAGGGGGATTGGGGAAAGAAAAGGTAGGGAACAGAGGAACACAGAGAAAACAACATTTTCATTATTGACAAATCCAAGAGCACTCAGCAGGGGCGGCACTGAGGACACTCAGATGGACACAGTGTGGCTGGAGAATGGAGGACGACACTGTAATATCATCACACCTCCCGAGACACATAAAAAACACACTACAGCTACTCGGTATTTTACCATTTTTAACAACGCTTGCTTCTGCACACACTCATGCCTGGATTTGTGTGTGTGCAGGTTAATGTGTGTGTGTGTGTGTGTGTGTGTGTGTGTGTGTGTGTGTGTGTGTGTGTGTGTGTGTGTGTGTAGAGATGGCACTCACACAGCTCCCTGCCTGCTCTCACTGTGGTGTAAGCTGATTCGGCCTGTGGTCTAACTGCATAGTTAGAGACACCTCAGGCCAACAACACCGTCCAAAAGCCTTCAGGAAGCATGTCCACACAAGACGGAAACCAGAAACCACGAGAATAAAGAGCCGGGCCGACGCAGTTAATGGGCAAAGGCTAGCTTTACCTCCACTTCGGCATCTGTAGCTACCGTTCTGGATAAGAGTTGACACGCTGACTGAATATAATAGTTTATAATGGCTGACTATATTAAATACCTCTTACCTAGTTGGGCATTTGAGCAACTATAAACTCTGTGTCAAGTTGGAGTTGAAATTTGGACCCATCGGTTTAATATGTATATAATGATACACTTTTTGCAGAAGTGCTTCAGAGAGTGAACAGTTAAATAAAACACTCAAATGAAAAAAAAAAAACATAAATTAAGTGAATCAAGTAATTAAAAACCAAGTAAAATACTGCTCATGTGTGACGTGTCCATAGTGCCTGTCTCCTGTTTTATTTATAAGGTGCAAGAACAAGTAAGCAGGGCGGAGGGGTGTGTGTGTGTGTGTGTGTGTGTGTGTGTGTGTGTGTGTGTGTGTGTGTGTGTGTGTGTGTGTGTGTGTGTGTGTGTGTGTGTGTGTGTGTGTGTGTGTGTGTGGCAGATAAGTGTGCAACCCCCCACAAGCTGCTCCGGGGGTGGGGCATGAAGTGAATTATTAATCCCACACAGGGACTGCCGATCTGGGGCCTTGGAGAGCATCGGGGCCCTGCCTCCTCTGGATGCTGGGCTTTTATTAACGGAGCAGAGCGGGGCATGAGGGGCTGACATCTACGAGGAGTTAGCCGGCACAAAGTAGAGCTAACGGGGCCCGAGGGCACGAGGGGAAGGAGCCAGTGTGCGAGCAGGTGAATGCAAAGAAAAAGAGCCTGTGTGTGAGTGAGGGGGGATTTAGAGGGTATGAAAGAGAGAGGGGTGTTTGAGAGAAAGGGTTTGCCTCTTACCTGGCCATGGGGTCCCATCATTGGGTTGCTGGGGTTGTGTGGGGGGGGCTGTGCATGGGGGGATTGCTGGGAGCCGGGTGGTCCCTTTAAGAAAGAAGAGCGATATCAGAGAGGGGAGGGCCCAAAAGTGGGCTTTACACCTGGAGGAATTAGCCGAACAAAACCATAGGAAAGAGGTGGACGAGAAGTGGGGAGTAAACGGGGGCCTTGAGGAGGAAGAAGAGGAGCAAAAAGATGGGTAACGCTCTTTTAGAAGAGGTTAGTTGATCTGCTATGCAACACAAACACAGGATTAAAAGCCAAAGCCCAACAGTTTTAATTCGCCCTTTAGAGAAAACAAGGCAGCATATATCAGTATTTAGAATTATTAATGATGTTTGGGACCCTCAGGTCAGGTGTAGTGTTCTTCTCAGCCACATGGGGGCAGTGTTGCCAAAGGCTCACTGCAACAGGACAGGAAGCAGCAGGACAGGCGCTAGTGGCAACTTCAAACCACAAAGATGATACTGACAAAAACAAGATAAAGTTAGGGGGATTTTTCCAGCTTATTATGATCCTTCTTTGGTATGACAATGTCTCAGCGCCAGCCTCCCCCGAGCTTCTCCAACCCCCTGCTGTGTTATTGCTGACATTTCACCCCAAGACAAGAGGTTAACGACCCCCAATAAATAACTCATTATGCAACAGTCCCTTTTTTCACTCTTATTGCGGTCACTGCCTTCATCTTTTCCCGTGCTTCTTTAAAATGTTGATCAGACAAAATGAGTTGTTTGAAACAGCAGCTTGGGTTATAGGAAGCTGTCATTGGGATGTATTTGTTTCTTAATTATTCTAGACAAATTATTAATCCCCTAAAAAAAAGTAAAAAGTAAAAATAGACATGGCAGATTTGTTTACTCTTTAATCAGAACACTTGATTTGAAAAATGAAGCCACCTTTTGACTATTTTATTCAGATAAAGTTATTATATTTTTTGTTCAATGAGTATTTGAAAATGTGTTTAGGTCTGAAGCTTGATTAAACAAGTCTAGAATCGCAAAATATTTCATATGATGCCTTTATTGCAACACACACACACACACACACACACACACACACACACACACACACACACACACACACACACACACACACACACCATGTTATAAATAGCACTTCCATGCGTCTCTCCTCACCCTCTCTCCCCCACCCTTTCCCTTGCTTATTCACAGTCGTACTCTCACTAATCCCCCCCCTCCCTCCCTCCCCAGCAACACCACCATCCTCTCAGCACATTGCCTCGCTCTCAGCAACCAAACAATGGAGTGGTAGGTAGCCACAGAAACAAACACCGGGCCACAGTCCTGGTGGCACTGATCTTTCACATTTCCCTCTCTTCTCCCTCTCACCCCTCTTCATCCCCCTCCTCTATCGTGTCACCTGCTTTTTCTCTCCGACTCTTCTCCACCACCTTATCGCGCCTGCTGCCAAATGCCAGTGCTGTCCATCACACCACTGCCTCGCGGAGGATGTGTGTTTGTTTGTGAACGTGTGTGCACAAAGGCCTGTGCCTGTGTGTGTGTGTGTCATTCTCTACACTCTTCAGACAGCGATCTCCCACACTAAAACCTTTTCCTTCACAGAGCGGAGACGGGTCAGAGACGGAGACTGAGATGAAAGGAGTGGAGAGAGAGCATGAATACGGGATGGTTGAATCACGAAGCGGATGAATAAACGTTGTGAGCACCATCTGAGGCTGCAGTGGGTGTAAATATCGGAAGTGGAATAAACGATGTTTGGAAAAATGTGGGGAAAAAGGGGGAACAAAAGTGGGAGTTGACATTTTCTTGTTATCTGATTAACTCTTGATTTTAGGCTAAAGGACTTTATTACTAGACCCTGACTGATTCTGACGTGTGATATAAAAAAACGACTTTGTTTTACATAAACATTAAAGTTACAGTTAACTATTTAATCAGAAATATCAGTTATGAACAATATATAAAAGTGTTGCTGCTCGGTAAAAAAAAGAAACTGCAAAAAGAAAATAAATAGAAATTCAATTTTCAAAAAAATATGTTGTTCTTTTTAAGCCAAATCCTAAATCAGTTGTATTGGTGCTTTTTCTTCCTAGTGTGCAAACATAAGTGCCAATACAGTCATAAATAGTCTAATATCTCTAAATAATATTGGCCTGCTGATAGTCTTTTCTATTAGTTTAAAAATAATATGCGCATGCCACCTGAATGGTTGGTTTTTTGAGAGTGGAGTGGAGTAATGGTATGTTACTCGGGGTGATGGCGGAGTACACAGGACAGTGACAAAGGAGAAAGTCTTACCTGGAAGAAGCCAGGGGGCATGGGACCGCCGGGCATGGCGTCGTTGGGGGGCATGTTGCCCATCACAGGGCTGGGCGCTGCCGCTGCGCTCTGAAACACACAATCATGGTGATTAATTGTGGTGTGTGTAAGTGGGTGTGTCTCCAACTGCTCTTTATGTACATTCTGCAATGGCCACCGAATGACTTTAGGGGGCAGTGTCTGCACCTGCAATCACTGCACCTCCTGCCCCCCCCCAACCCCTCTCATCCAAAGTTTAAAGGTGAGCGTCCCGCTTTAAAACCTCCAAAATGGTCCCCTCATCTGTGTAGTGGAGAGTAGGGCTGCTCAATTAATCATATTTTAAATCGCAATTACGATTTTGGCTTGCAACGATTATGAACACAACATAATCGAAATAAAACGATTATTTATTTAGATTTTTTTTTCAGTTGAATTATACTTTAAGTTCAGGGTAATCAACTGTTAAAAACATACTGTTCAAAATGTTCTTTTCAATAAATTGATGTTTTCAAAGTGAATGGATAATCGTTTTTAATAATCGTGATATCAATTATTGACCCAAATAATCGAGATTATGATTGTTGCCATATATGTTCTCTTTAGTCTAGAAGTCAGATATCAAGGAGAAGAATTGAGTTTCACTGACACACAGCTATAAAGCGATCATTACATTAAAAGAAAAGCCTTTTATTATTATTTTGTAATACAATACAACCACCTTCAGCCTACAAAATGATCAGCATTGCATATGCTTTTCTATACTCAATCTGGCAACACCGTGTTAATTGTGTTTCTGGATCTTCCAAAATGTAAGTTATATATTGCCATATTGCCAAAGTCCAGGCAAAAGGGTTTCTGTTAAACTGAATCGCACACAATAAAGCAATATACACTTTTCTTTGGAAACCTATGAGGGGTTTTACTTCTGCTGTTTGTTAAATAATCAAAAGACTGTTAAACTATGTTTTTTAGGAGATTAAAACGAGATATAAGTGTATGAAATAGCGTATACCTTGTCGATTAACAGCTTCCATTGGCCAGAAAAGCATCACTCCGCATTAGACAGTAGCTTTGTTAGTTTTGTATTTGTCGAGGCATGTTGTGTTTCTTCCTTTTCTCATTTGCTTATTAAAAATCTCTCCAAAAATATATTAATGCATTTTTTTATAACGATAATGGTTATTTTTACAGATATATTTACAGACGTATCTAAAATCTTTTGAAATCCTGCATGAGACCAAACTATTACACTACTTGAACAAATAGCACCAAGTCATCAGCAAATAAGATGAGTGTGTTTCTGGAATGCAAAAGATAATTAAAAGCAGGGAACGACTAACTCTAAATCCTTCAGTCTGGAAGGAGGCCCCATTAACTATTACAGATCACAGTAGGCCGACACATGTAAATACAATTCAGCCGTTTCCACCCTTACGTCACTCAAACAATATGAAAAAAAAAACTAGAATCGAGCAAAGAGAAGAGGGGGTGAATGGTTCAGCCCGGGAGATAAATATGATATAACTGTATTCTTGTCAACACACATAGATGGAGACGCGTGCTTACATAAGCACGCCGGAACAAACACACACGCAAGCATTTGAACGGACCAACACGAACACACAAAGAGTTGCATCACAGGCTCATAAAGTCCGGCCCTTCAGTACAGAGAGGCAGACAGGGGAGAACCACAGGGTACAGGACCCAACAGGGAGGGGTTTAAGACCCAGGGGAGGGAGTCACTCTCATAAACACACACAGACACATCTACCGTTCCACCAGCACACACACCTAACGAACACACCACATCCATGTGAAATGCCCTGTATGCTGCTTGGACAAGAACGCATATTAGCAATTACACGCATGTGTGTACACACACACACGCATGTGTGTACACACACACACGCATGTGTGTACACACACACACACGCATGTGTGTACACACACACACACACACACACACACACACACACACACACACACACACACACACACACACACACACACACACACACACACACACACACACACACACACACACACACACACACACACACACACACACACACACACACACACACACACCACACACACACACACACACACACACACACACACACACACACACACACACACACACACACACCTCCCCCCCATCTTTATGCTAATTCTGCTAGTGAACATGAGCAGGCCACTGAGTCCCTGGGGAACAAGCCGGGTCGGCTGCCTCTTTCTCTCCTCCCTCCCTCCCTCTCATCTCTTCTTCTGCACACTTTTCTCTCCATCTTTTCTCCTCTCCGTGACCCCCCTCACATATTTCCCCAGCACTGGTGCACACACACATTAAGGCACACACACACACCTTTCCTGTGCCCCAGCCCCTGTACTATTCCTCCCCATCACAACCTCTCCTCCCCTCAGCCCCCCAGTAGGGTGTCAGCAGCTTGCAGAAGCTGTTGCTATGGAGACAGGTCCTATCTGCACTCTGTCCCCCTGGCATCCCCCGCTCCAGGAGCGCAGAGAGAGAGAGAGAGAATAAGATGCAGGAGAGTGAGCGAGAGAGTGAGTTAGAAGATACAAGAGTGAGGCAGAACAAGAAAAAAAGAAAAGATGATACGGGAGACAGAAAATGTTACGAGGAGAGATTTCTGTTCACAATCAATCACCATGGTCACATTACTGCTGTAGACAATTAATGATCGACTATCTGCTCATGCATTTCCACATTTGCTGATTAAAAGCAAGGTACGTAAGGTAGCAGTTGCCACTAGCAGAGGTAGATTTAGTATGCAGTCGGTCTTTATTAAAACCAACTGGCCTGAGGAAACACAACACGCATCCAACCGTGCTTTTCTAGTGTTTTGTGGTGGCACCCACAGAAATGTCTATATCTACCTTTCCATTTAAAGTCGATGCTCGGAAGTAGCTGTCGGAAAGCCTCATGACAAGACTGCCTCGTTGAATCAGAATAAGTTGATTTACTAAGGAATCAAATCTACTGGAACATGTCTTATTAGCATTTGTGCAAGTAAACATATGACTCCTAATGCAGACACAACATACCATAATACAGAAAAACCAGTTCAAAAAGACGGTGCAATCCACATCAGACATTACTGCTGCACTAATTAGTTGATATAATGAACATGGGTTTTTGTAGTCGAGCTGAATTATTCAGTTCCAGTCTGAATGTATGGAGGGGAGTCTGTAAATAACGGGGGAAGCGCCGGGTGGCAGCGCGACTTGAAAGGGCTTTAATGCCTGACGTGCAGCAGGAAGGAGAAGAATACCTTTCTTTCATTGACGAGCTGAAAGTTCAACAAAACCCATGGGACACATTTTCAAATGTCTGCGAATATTTACAGTGTTTAAACTGTAAACTATATTTTAATGGCCTTCTTCGGCAGATCTGCACAAGCACTCTGTAGAAAATAATACCGAGCTGTATTTTACATTACTTGGCTATCAATAATACACTCTCTGGGCTACAGACCTGAACTGTAGATCATCACTTTGGCCTCAGTGTAGAAAAGTGCTTTCTTAAGCATTATTTAATAGCATAACATTTAACATTGTCTCTTTTAAATTATATTTTTAGGATCCAAAGACTATTACGAAAGACCTCAAAAGCTACAAGATTTATACAAAGTAAAAATAAAAAAACTCAATTTAAACTCCCTTGAATAATGATATTTGTACCATTACTTATAAGGTAAATAGTATCGTATTATATATGCATTAACCCTCAATTTTAAATAAGACAGTTCAACTACTCTGTCCCTTCAACCTGTAGAGACGGAGCTAATGGCCCCTTGTAGTTATGGCAGTATTCAATAAAAATCTATAATGACCTTCATATATTATTAACACAAAATATATTTTATTCTGGATAAATGTAATGAGGAAAGAGTCGAGTGTGGCTGGGTCTCTGACAAGTGCTCTCCACAGTTTGTTCACATTTTCCCAGAAAGCATCTCTTTCTGTGTTTGTCATGAAACATCAGACTACTGCATTGACTGTCATGTTGGTTTAGTGGCCATAGAGTAGGGCTGCACGATTTGGGGAAATAATCTAATTGCGATTTTTCGGACAGATATTGCGATTGCGATATTTGTTTTTAAGCGACCCAACGGAAGTTTATTGTAAAATGCGGCCATATCTCCGGCTAGGAAGGTCGTATCAACGTGCTCCCGTCTCTAGCAGCCGCACAGCCCGAGCTACGAGTGAAAGAACTAAACGTACATGAAACTTCCGTTGGGCTGCTGTAAAGTCAAGCTTCAGTTTAAGATTCACCCTGTAATAGAAACATGTGATGGAGCATTACTAACCTGACTCAGATGGTTCACCAAACCATCTAAAGCTCCATTGGAAGCCATTTGGAAAGAGCAGGCACTTTCAAAAATACTTGGCAGGTGATTGGATCAATCTGTCTATCACCTTCTATCATGGGCCACTTCTGATTGGTTAACAATGGCTGGTACATGTGGAGCACAGCACTTCTGATTGGTGTGGATGACTGACACACAAGAACAACAACAACAAAATTGCGATTTGAAAATTGCATCATTTAAAATCGCGATTTCGATTTAAAATCGATTAATCGTTCAGCCCTACCATAAAGGCATACTGAGTAAATGTAGCCACAAAGTCCAAATTTGGCTAGGCATCTTTGCCGCTCTTTTCTACCACCACTCACCTGTCTATTCACCCATGATACCTTAAAAATAATTACTATTTAAATGAATTCACCTGAAAACTTTCTTTCAAAAACAAAGACTAAAAAGCACTGGTGCATTGATCTTTACACTTTGCAATTTGTTAACAATTTTCAGCTAGAATTTGGTGGAACATAATAAAAACAAATCTTTCTTTAATCTTTTGTAATTTGTTTGTATACATCATTAACTAAAATGTGGAGTTTTTCAATGAAATTATCAGGTTTTTTTATTAAATGCCCTTAAAGGTGGGGTAGGTCATTTTGGAGAAACCAGCTCGAGTGCGCTAGAATTTGAAAAAACACAGCCGGAAAAAATCTGCCACTTCCTCACAGAGCCCCTCCTCCAACACACACGAACGCGCACATG